TATTATAATTTGATCTCTGGAATAATCGATAATTGAATTAGTTGCCTTTAGAAAATATCGTCCTAATAATATGTCGTAATAGTGTGAAAATGGAAATATGTAAAAATGTTGATCTACTGGGAAAAGTTCATTAGGTTGAACAGTAAGTATTTCGTTCAAATTCACTGCTCCATCCAATGCACGAACTGCTGTAGGTATTAATGTTTTGGGTAGGTTACAAAAATTATGGCTCATAATATTTATTGAACTACCTATATCAATAAGACAGCGACAGATAAATTTTTCAATAAATTTTAAGGCAATATATTGGTGTGTAGAGAAGCAGATAAACGAACATTTTCGGCATTATCTTCATCTGGTTGTTGGTATGGATGACTAAGATTCTGATGGTCGGTTTCGCAATAAAGTTCGTCACTATTATTTTGCTATTCGCAACTTTGATCAATTGGCATTTCTATATGATGGTAATCATCAATTCCCTTTTGTTTTGATGGCCACTTGTATTTTCACGTTGGCGTTTTTGAGATTGAGTTAAATTTAGAATCGAATAACCTTGACTTGACTTTCTATATGCATCACTTTGTTGACCTTGCACAAGTTTTTGTTGAAATTCTTCAATCATTTAAACATTTGTGGATTTGGTGATGGTAAAGAAGGTCGTCCCTGATCAAATGTGTTCAGTCGGACATAGTGTGGTATAAGATATTGATTGTTGACAATTTCGTTCGCTTTTTGATGGGATGGAGTGTTATTGTATGAAGTTATTTCAGTATTATTTATTTCTTTATTAGAGGGCCAATCAGGATTGATATTTGAATATGATTTCTTACTATTTTGTACGAGAATTATATTTACATTATCTTCATACATGCCTACTTGTTGGGCAACACATTTTCGCTTAGAAATACTAGATATATCATGACGTGCTAAAATCATGAACATACGATCAGGTAATTTTTTATTTATTACATATTTTACTGTATCGTTCATAGCTTGTGTATAATAAAAGTTGTTTACTTCGTCATTTTCTAATGATAATTTGTTTACAATTATGCTGGCTTTGATTTCGAGCTCTTCTACAAACTTACGCAAGCTACCCTGGAAATTCGTGTTATAGAGACTGCGAAGCAGTTCTTCATAAGATATGTTTCTGCTTACCGCGCGTATCCTACCGGCTGCGCTAATTACATGTTTAAACAATGCGGTTAGTTAAATAGAAAAATAACTTTATTTTAATGCCATTGGAGTTGCACAAGTTTCTTCTTTTGATGCAGATTTACAACTGGCAGCATTTACGTTGGCAGCTATAAAGCTCCAGCATCGGATGACATTGCCGTTACAAAGCTCTAGGTGGCCTGATCATACAGTTACCTTTCTTGTAAAACCTTTAAGTTGCGTGATTCGAACAACCTTTACTATATATTAATAGCAATATTGTCTGAGTTCTCAAGCAACCCAGAAAAGTTTCGAAGTCTTCTCAAAGACTTTTTTCTCTATATATGAAGACATTTCAAAAAAAAAAATAATAATAAACCTGGAGTTTACGTATACCTAATAAGGGGGCGAAAAAAGGAAAAAATTGTGCCACAATTGAAGAGAAAACAAGTCAGAAAGCTCTAGTCGAGACTGCTCGACTACGAGATCACCTGAACCCTTCCAACAACTGATATTTCAATAATTATTCGCACATGCACACACACACACGCACACACACAGCCATACCCACGCACGCATAAACACGCATTGGTTGCAGTGGTGGCTTCCTATGGGAACTTAATTGCTTAATACCTTTTCATGTGGATGTACTATCTTCATGAAACTTTTAGATTATGATTATACCATGGATATGCATGCATGGATTGCCAAGGCACAATTCTCTAGTATTTGAAATACGTTTTTTACAAATATGTGGGTGAGGGGATGGATATAAAGGTGCAGGGGTAAATTTTAACATAAATCGAAATTGTATAAAATGCATATAAGTATACATATAAAATTTTGAGACACTGGCTTTAAAGATGTAGAGGATATCATTTTATAACTGATTTTCGATACGGGTTTTTATCGATAAAAAAAATAAGGGGATGAGATATCGGTTTTTGGTGAAAAATTCGATATCCGCGCTATATATACGGACATTAAAAAAAATATTTGAAGTGTCTCGCTCTTTTATCTTCTGAAATCAACGCGTCCATATGACAGACGGACGGATGGACGGACAGACAGACGGACATAGCTAAATCGACTCAGCTCGTCGCCCTGATCAAGAATATATATGCTTTGAGGGGTCTGCCACGCCTCCTTCTGCCTGTTACATACTTTTACAAAACTATTATACCCTGATTTACCATTTTCAATAGGTTCAGGTTTGTAGACTTTATGGCGCCAAAATCGATAAGTCGGCCATAATGCAATAGAGGAACCAATCCGAGTGGTCGCTAAAGGACTTGCATCAGTTGCTCGAATAGTTATACAGTTTAACATTAACTGCACTTCGCCAAGAGCTTCTTGCCAAGGCCTGTGACTTAATTGAACTGCGGTTAATAGGTTTTTAAGCGTACCCATTACGCGCTCAGCTTGTCAATTAGAACGACTTGCCCCAGTTGCAGTTAAATGAAATTTAATATTCTTTGAAGAAAATTCTGTGTGCTTGAAAAACATCTACCCTGATCGGCTATAATGCGAGTTGTTACACTAAATAATGAAATTGAAGACGTCATGAACTTGATACATCTCTCTGTACCTATTTTGAGAGTGTGATATTGAATTTTGTGAAGCTATCAATTTGAAAAATAAAGTATTCCTTTAAATCACTTTGTTCTACAAGTTATACAATTGTCAACAAATTTACAGACAATAATTTTGTGAATCCAGTAGTATTGATGTACTTTTAAGGGTCTTTTGCCATCCTAGGTGCATGATTGACTAATACACTTGATTTACCACTGAAAGTTCGGGGCACGACTGGTAAACATCGTTTTTTCTGTATTTTATCGTTTTTTATCTGTAATTATATCGTCTCGTAGCTCGTTGGAATTCAGCTGCCAGTTGCTGCTCGGCAAACAGCCAATTACTTGATATTTTTGAAGGAACTGGGTTTCTTGATAGAAAATCTACATGTCCTATGCTTTCCGTTCTCTATATTGTATTGTGAAATTAAAGGATCACCGACAGTGACCTCTAGGAGCTAGGTCTATTTTAGTGCGTGATGCTTTCAATGAGTTGCAATCAGTATAAATCACATATACTCTACCAAGCAAAAAGGAAGGAAAATGATTTACGGACGCAAATATTAGGATAGGAGAGGTATCTAGATTCTGCGGCGGAAGTTGTTTTGCTGAAATATTCTACAACATTAAGTTGATTGTTGCTACGATCGAAAAGCATGGCACCAAATCCGATCGAACTATCAGTGTGCGATTCTATAGGGTGCTGTCTGTCAAATATTACTATAAACGGTTTATTTGTGAGGATGCTTACAAATTTCTTTCGAATGCTTTCGATCTCAGCATTCCAAATAAAGCTTTCTTTTCCTGATGTTAGAGCGTATAATGGCTTCATTACTTAACAGAAGTCAGGTACAAACTTGCGGAAACAGGATGCTATACCAATGAGCTGCCGCATACTAAAAACTACCTTTAATATTTCAAACATTCGAAAATTCGTAATAATTCAAGAGTCCCTCGAATTTCGAAATAATGAGAATTGGACTGTAGCTATCGATTTTCARAAATAAACTCGATAAGCGCGTAACATACGGACGTGAGAAAAAAATTCTAACCTTTAGCTCTTATATCTTCTAAGATTGACGCGTTCATACGGACGGACTAAATCGACTCAGCTCGTCGCAGTGATCACTTTATGCCTGCTTGCAAGTGTATATATGTATATTACTGATTTTCCATTCTCAATGGGTTGCAAACCCTTAGCAAATCCGCAAAACCAGATTTTTAAAATATCGGGTTGTTGATTTAAAATAAAAGTTCCCACTTTTAGTTTTCGTTGGCTTTTTATCAGTTAGTTGAACAAGTACATCATCGACAAAATAATAAATAATTCTGATATAGCCTTATATTTAATCAATATATTAGTTAATTTAAAACTTACTTTATCTGATGGTACTGTTCGCGGCATCTTATGAGTAAATAATGGAGTAAAATTTTCGTTTGTTTGAATATGCAAGGACGAAAGTGGTTGTTCCATCGGAACTGTTTGCGTAGACGAGCTCGTACTGTGTTCTCGTTCTGCCATATCAATGTCAATATTACAACCCGAATTAGATCCTTGTGTTTGCAGAATAAAATGACGTTGATGGTGGGATGACATCTTTTTCGCAGGCATCTTACTACGTGTTTGTATAGGCGGTAGGTATGAGGTCTCCATCGTAGTTAACATCGTTGTACCAATAGAAGTGCTCATGTCGACACTATTAACGCTAAATGAATCCGTTGTATATAATTTGTTTTGTTTGGTAAATGGGATTTGTTGCAGGCGGTGACTTTTGCTAGTACTTGTAGCAATAGCAGTCGTTGTTAGCATATTATGTGTGTCTCAATTGTCTTATAGAGAATGACGCATCTACATAAATGAAATATGTGAAAAAAACAACAAATTACTAATATATGATTAAACACAGCTTACAAAGACCTTTATGTATATACATATTTATATAAATTTATTTACTTAAAAGCCATGTACGATGAAGTGAGATTATTTCTCACATGTTCAATATATATGCAAACATACATATGTACATATACTATTTTATTGACTTACTTAGTTTAATCAATTTCCAAAGCAGACCCAATGAGTAATTATGCTTCAAGTTTTGTAGTGTACTGCAAAGGTTCAGAAATACGCGAAGATTCAAGCTGGCTTGTTTTTATTCATTCGCACTGATTTCATTACATCTACAATTGATTTGAATATTTCGATTATGTACGTTTATATTTATGTGTTTACAAAATTGCATACAAAGTTATATATTATTGAGCGCGATAGCGCATGCGTATAAATCTCTGGATTCATTGCTTTGCATAAATAATGCAACTTTATTAATTAAGTATTATTCAGTTATTCTGCCACACCTACGTAACTACATCTAACTCTGAGTGAACAGCGTAAAAATAATTAAATTTAAGTGAAACCCTAATACGTATTGGAAAGAAAAACACAAATTTTTTTTTAATTTACACAAAAGTAATTCGGATCTGGGAAACTGATGGACTATCAAGGTATCGAGTTTTTACCAACTATCGCTGTTTTTTGTACCTATCGATAGTTACACTAACCAGAGACACTGACCAGAGAACACATAGACTAGACATGTAGAACAAATTTTTCTACAGCAGAAAA